GCCGCCGCCCGCCCTCACCAGGGTCTCGAGCCTGGTAACCGCCGTCTCCATGTTGAATAGTTGACATTCCTCAGGCGGCGGCGGGGAGATCCCCACCCCCCGCGCCGCGGCACGGGAGAGTCGGCGGCGCCCATTGGCCAGCTGTCACTCGCCGCGCGCCTCCCATTGGCTGGCGGCTCGCGGGGCGCTCTCGCCATTGGCCAGGAGAGAATGTAAACCCGCTCCGAGGTACGGCCGAGCCCATTGGCCCGGAGTGSGCTCCGGCGGTGATTGGCCGGGGCGGGGCGCGCGGCGCTGGCGGGAAGCGGCTCGRGCCCGTCMGCTGCGGYYYTGAGGGGGCGGGGGCGCCGCTCCGTCCCTCCGGCCGCCTCCCGGTTGCGCCGCAGCCCCGGCGGGGCCGTTCCTCGTCCCGTTCACCCCACCGGCCTTTCCCAGCCGAGSGCTGCCCGCAGCCGATTGGCGGGACCGAAGCCGCTCGTCCAATGGCGGCTCCGCTCGCCTCAGGGCGCCCGGGACGGGGCGGGGCAGCGCCGGCCCCTCTCCCGTGGAGCGCGGGCGCGCCTCGGCGCCGCAGCCAATCAGCGCGCGGCTTACACGCGCCGCGTGGGGGGGGCGGCAGAGAGCGGCGCTGCCATTGGCTGGGAGCGGCGCGGGGAGCGGTTTGAATCGGCGGCGGCGGCGGGCGCTGAGCGCTACCGGGGCACTGGACACCCCGGGACACCCCCGGGACACCCCCGGGACACCCCCGGGACACCCCCGGGACACCCCCGGGACACCCCCAGGACACTCCCGGGGACACCCCCGGCACTGGGAACACCCCACAGGTGTGTGCAGGTGTGTGTGTGTGTGTGGGAGAGGATCCCCACTCTTGGTTCGGGGTCCCGGGTGAGCGGGGCTGGGGTGTCACCAGTCACCGGTCAGCTCGAGCCGTCCTCGGCATCGTTCCGTGGCTTCTTCGTGTCTTTTGTCACCGTTCTTCCAAGCGTCGTTTTCTCCAAGTTTAGTACTTCTCACGTCAGGCTAAAGAAAAACTGAACATTCGTTTATATTTATTATGTTTCTATATAAATAGTTACAATGTTTCTGTGTAATTTATAATGTTTCTAATTTCTTATTTATGTATAGGTATTTATACTATACATATTATTTCTATATTTCTATTATACTATATTATTTCTAATAYATTTATTATGTGTATATATTTAATTCATTAATGTCTATGTTACATTTATAAYAGCTATTTATTAGTGCTATTTATCTATGATATAAATAGAAAAGGGGATTAAAAGGCCCCTATAAAATGGTGCTTTCTGCATTCACTACTCRTGCACAAACACATCCCCACAGACCATACAAAATTAAGGATATATTTTCTATCAGTGGTATGTGATAATTCTACCAAGGTGACTGTGAATAACCTGGATTTTGCAGGTGCAGCCTGTATTATTCTCTTAGTTGGCAGCTCTGCCCCAATGTATAATTTAATTTATCTCCATATATTCTTTTYGTATGTGTCTTTTTCACCAGTAATGGCAAGGTATAAGAAATGCAAGCGAAAACGAAGAGCCAGAGCAAAACTTCGACTGGAAAAAAAGAGAAATGCTGCAACCCCCCAGGGCTCAGTTTGTCCTTCTCCATGGTAAGAGGCTCAGCTTGAACTTTGCCTTCCCACTCCATCCCTGGATTTGCTAATGGCTCATGGAAAAGAGGGAAATATTTATGCCAAGTAGATATAGCACTTCATGACATGGTTTGGTGTTATCCAGGTGAAGKTTGGGCATGATRGAGGTCTTTWCMWACTTTAATGTTTCTATGATTGATAACCATGAAAAGCATTCTGAATAAAAAGGTATTTCAAATAGGGTTTACCCCCTCTCCTTTATTGAAACGTATTTTGGCCTTTCCAAGTTTCTGTGATCACATTTACTCTGTTGTTACCACTGGTACCTACTTGTAATTTCCAGTTGATGGATYACACTAAACTTTTTCAAAGGCTGAAATGATAAATATAATTCTGACCTCATTCTGAAATGTTCTGTTGCAGGTCACCAGCTCATCTCCCTCTGAACACATCACCAGCCCCAAGGTGCTCGCTCTGGTCTTTCACCTTGCCCAGTGTAAAAAATGTGGTCAAACCTTTGACAACAGCAGCATCAWTTCTGTACTGGTGGTGCCAGAACAGGTTTGCACAGGTACATTCTTTCTTTGACATTAGATTTTTCTGYTTTAAACAGGGATTAACACTGTTTAGTGAGTGGGAAATATTTTATTGTACCAATTTCTTCTGTTCTGTCAGTACCCCTCCTAAAAATCAGATTGATCTTTGGAGACATCTGAAGGAAGTCAATATTCAAATACATTTAATCTGCTTTCTTTTTGTGCTTAGAGCTTTAAGGTGGTTAAAGACACCGTATTTCCATCACAAGTCTACTTAAGGGAATTAAATACATTCAGGGAGAAGCTGGAGAAGTTGGAAAGTGAATTTTCCAAGCTACAAGGAGCGCTCCAGGTCAGTCTCAGCCCAGCTGGGGCAGGGTGGTGTTTGCCTGGGTGAGGATGTAARGAACTGTGGTCAGTACAGATGCTCTGAAATCTGAACAGCTCCTCRGGGGTTTTCTGTGCATTCAGAGTTGCTAAACTGCTGCTACCTCAAGGCTTTTTAGACCTTTATAGCTCAACCTTTGTTGAAYATTTGTTGTCTAAAATCCCATCTACTTTTGCCAGTGGATTTAATGTTCTCTTTATTTATTTATGTCTGTTTCAGATGAACGGGGCTGCAGCTTTATCTCCAGAAAGTTCTCTTTGCCAAAGGTGTCATAAGCCAGTCCTGGGTGCTCCTGTGGGGACACAGATGGACCTTCCACCATCAGCATCCGTGCCTGTGTCCATCCCCCCTCCTCCTCCTCCTCCTCCTCCTCCTCCTCCACCACCACCACCTCTGCCTCCACCAAAACTGCCTCCAGCACCCCTCCTGCTCCCACGGGGCACTGCCTCTAAACCACTGCAGGTAGGGAATCAAGTTCATCTATTTTTTATTTCATGCCTGAGTTCTTTTTGGACCTGGATTCCTCAGGAATGAGCCTCTCTCTGAGCACTCAGTCGCCTTCCCATCCTAATTTCTCTTTCTAATTTCCCTTCCAAACCCCTTTGCTTTCAGGCACCAGCAGTGAAAAAGGATGGGCCCATGCACATCACCCTCAAAGACCTCCTGAATGTTAAACTGAAGAAGACAAACAGCAACCTGAGAATGGACAAGGTAAACTGGAGGATAAATAGGTGGTGGTATATCAAGGGACAATCCACTTTGGAACTGCTGTATTTCCTGCATTTTTCCCAATGAATTGATTCTCATCCAAACACACAGTGATCAGTTTCAAGTAACCATTTTAATTCTGCACCTGGATTTTGAAAGGGAAGAAATAAAGTGACAAACTCCAATCTCACCTGGCATCCAGACCAGTTCTAATTTTCCAATAAGAGCATGGAGCTTTCATGAAGCTTTGTGTGTTATCAATAGAGCTTGGACTTTTTTTTGCCTAGCTGGAATTTTGTTTGCAGAAGTGTTTAGATTTTTTTATTTTCTTGATTTTTTTTTTCTTAAATAAATCTATTTTTATTCAAGGCACGTTCAAATCTTAATAATTCATAAAAGTGTAAAAGCCATAAACCACAAAAATCTTTCAGAGTATAAATATTAAATAGATTTCAGGTTAGTGAGAYCTTATGCAGTTTTATCTGTGGTAACATTTCTTTCCTTGCTTTAGGARCAATCACCAACAAAGCCACGTAGGGCATTGATTACAGTCACAGATYTACAGAGTGTTAGTCTGAGACCTAAATCCAAGCCATCACCTCATACTACAAAAACTTTAATGTAAGATGCTCTCTTTCTTATTTTAATATTAGATTTTTCTGTTTTAAACARTGATTAACATTGTTTAYTGAGTGGGAAGTATTTCATTGCACCAATTTAATTTCTTTTTTTAGTACCTCCCCTAAAAATCAGATTGACCTTCGGAAACATCTGAAGAAAGTCGACATACAAAGGTCTGTTGCTTTCTATTCTCTTSAATTCCAATTTTTTAATCTAGAAAAAATAAAGAATCAATTAAACTAATCATAATCCCCCTTTCAGAAGTCCWGGTGGCACTCCTCTAAATAGTAAAGAAAACACTGAATGTGGCTCTGGGCTGACACCAATAATGACGCAGGCACTACGGCGCAAATTTCAGGCAAGTCACTGTCTTTTTGGAATCATGAGGTGTCTTTAAAATCCACAGAATTTCCTACTGATTTAAGGACTGCAGAATGCCCATGCCATGGCAGGTTATTTGACAATGCCAAGAGGAAAAATTGAGTTTTTCGTGACCAATCAGGTGCCTCTGTACAACTTTGAAATTCATAGTTCTGATTTGCAGAAGAACAAAATCTGAGGGTTAATAATATCTTTTATTTGAATGATTTGCTGTGTCTGTTTTATGGTGTCTGCTAAGAATTGCACTGTTTCATCTCAGTGCTGATCAGTTCAGGTATCCAAGTTCTGACCCTTTCCTTCTTTTGACAGATGGCTCACCCRAAGAGCCCCTCGCCTGCACGGTTGAGTGCTGCAAACAGCTTTGATGAAAAGTAAAAAGGAAAGTAGGTTTATGGAACAACATGTTTTCCATTTGTGGTCAGGAAGCCACTTGACTCCCATTTTTATCACACTCAGGCACATGTATTCTACACAAGTAGATCTAAGTAGAACATAAATTACACAAGTAAATCTAGTGCACAGGAGAATGGGGCATTATGAAACCCTGTAAAGCAGATTAATGGAAAAAAAAATAGGAAATTTCCAAGTCTTTTGACMCCTGGGTGCTGCTGAAGGAGGGACTATTGTGTTCCCAGCTCTGGTGCTGCTTGTCATACAAATATGTATGTGTTTGCTGAAATTCAGTATTTTTATTTCTTTTTTTTCAGTATTTTATATATATTTCAGTATTTTATATCTTTTTTTTATAACAAAAAGTATCTTGACGGTATTTGTACAGTTTCAAGAAAAGCAACAGTTTAATGCACTAATGTTATTAAAGTGGAAAGCTGCAAGGTTCAACCAACGGTTGGAGTCTGTGGCTACAAATGTGTGGGACCACTGCACTGTGTATCACTGCTGGCTGGTGTCTCATCACTATTAAAACGCTGCACTGCTTAAAGAGTTGGATAAGGTTAAAGTTCACCAAGTTCTGACACACACATACACAAGAACTCACATTATTATGGTTTATAATTGGTCATTTCACTGACCAAAAGGTGGGGAAAAACCCAACCACCCAACAAAATGCACAACAGATCGGTCAGAAATTCCATTTCAAACTATTTGGTGCTTTTTAAACTGGAAACTCCATTTCCAAGTGTATTTATTGCTTTGATTTGCCTCACAGCAAGCAGAGATTCTTAACTGCTATCAGACAGATGTTCTTAGACTGTATTACAGGGAATATCTTCTAGACAGCTGCAAGGTTCAGCCAACGGTTGGAGTCTGTGGCTACAAATGTCTGAGGCTATTGCACTGTGTATCACTGCTGGCTGGTGTCTCATCACTATTAAAACGCTGCACTGCTTAAAGACAAGGAATCAGAGCCTCCTCCCTCGTCCAGTTCCCGGGGTGGGCAGAGGGTGTGCCTGTTCCGCGGCTCAGCTCAGGACACGGACCAGGACMAGGGCAGATCGCGAGTCCCGGTAGCACAGCCGTGACCCGGCATCCCGGCACGGTCCGCGGGAGCGGTGGGGACCAGAGTTACCCACGATGGTGTCCGCGCTGTCACATCTATCCCCGCAGCGCCCGGTCCCTGCGCCCGTATCCGCGCCCTCCGGGGCGGAGCCGCTCATGCGCGGGGCCGGAGCCGGGGCTCCGCCGCTTCCGGGCGGGATCGGGGCTGGGAACGCGGTGGGACCGGGCCATGCCGCTGACCGGGGCCGGGGCCGGGCCGCCCGGGGCCATGGGCACGGCCGTGGGGCCCATGAGCCTGCGGGAGCTGCTGCTGGCGGCCGAGGCGGGCGGCGCGGCGGGCGGCGAGGAGGAGGTGTGCGTGGTGGGCATCTTCGGCAAAACCGCGCTGCAGCTCTGCTCCGAGAAGGAGGCCCTGGTGAGCACCGTGTGCGACCGGCAGGTGTTCCCGCTGTTCCCGGAGGAGGATCCCGAGCTGGCGGACGGCGCCGCGGGGCAGGAGTGTGACCCGGCCACAAAGGACTATAATCATCTGCAGGCGTACTACAGCCAGGAGAGCCGCGTGCTGTACCTGGTGCTCACCTCCATCTGTGACACGCCGCAGCTGCTGCGCGCCTGCGGGGACCTGGCGGCGGCAGAGAACAGGGAGGCCGGGCCCGGCCACCCCTCCGGCGGCCCGGCCCCGCTGCCCCACGCCGAGGCGCACGAGTTCTGGAAGCACCAGGAGAAACTGCACTGCCTGAGCCTCCTCTATCTCTTCTCCGTCTGCCACATCTTGCTGCTGGTGCATCCCACCTGCTCCTTCGACATCACGTACGACCGCGTGTTCAGGGCGCTGGACGGGCTGCGGCAGAAGGTGCTGCCCTCGCTGAAGGCTGCCATCAAGGACTGCCCGGTCGGCAAGGAGTGGAAGCTCAACTGCAGGCCATGCCCTCCACGCCTTCTCTTCCTCTTCCAGCTCAACGGGGCTCTGAAGGTGGATCCGCTCCCRAGCAGGGGCCAGGACCCCTGTGGTCACCTGGAAAAGCCACCCCCCAAGAAGCATTCCCCCAAGAGGAGGCTGCAGCATGCTCTAGAGGATCAGATCTACCGCATCTTCCGCAAGAGTAGGGTGCTGACCAACCAGAGCATCAACTGCCTGTTCACTGTGCCTGCTAACCAAGCTTTCGTGTACATCGTGGCCGGCGGGCCCCAGGAGGGAGATGATCCCGTGGCCATGCTTCTCGACCAGCTCAGGAGCAACTGCACCATGAGAGAGACGGACTCGCTGCTGGCTCCCACCCTGTCGGGACCCAGGAGGTACCAGATGATGAGGCACGGCCGGCAGCAGCTCTCCTTCCACGCAGAGAGCAGCAGCTCCAGCTCCAGCTCCTCTGGGCAGCTYGTGGACTGCACCCTCAAGGAGTTCTTGTGGCAGCACGTGGAGCTGGTGCTCAGCAAGAAGGGCTTTGAAGACAGCGTGGGGAGGAACCCGCAGCCCTCTCACTTCGAGCTCCCCACCTACCAGAAGTGGGTGGCTGCAGCTCTAAAACTSTACGAAGTGACCATCGAAGGCAAAGACGATGACCCGACCTGTGGCGAGCTGAGCTCAAAAATCATGAGCAGCATCAAAGTTTTGGAAAGCTACTTAGACATAGACACCAAATTCTCCGAAAACCGTTGYCAGAAGGCTCTGCCCATGGCCCACAGTGCCTACCAGTCCAACCTGCCCCACAATTACACCATGACAGTGCACAAGAACCAGCTGGCTCAGGCCCTGCGTGTGTACAGCCAGCATGCCCGGGGCCCAGCCTTCCACAAATACGCCATGCAGCTCAACGAGGACTGCTACAAGTTCTGGAGCAACGGGCACCAGCTCTGCGAGGAACGCAGCCTGACTGACCAGCACTGCGTGCACAAGTTCCATCTGCTCCCCAAAGCAGGTAAAGATGCTCACTTGTGATTTGGTTTCATTTTGTATCTGCTTTAAAATCTTAGGCTGTAAGTGCTGTCTCTGAAATGTTGTGGAAGGTGAAAGTTTGCAGCGTTAAAGTGTTGTGTTCAAGCCTTGGATATGGCACTCGTTGCTCTTTTCTAATTGACCAGGCAGAAGTTGGACTCAATCTCAGAGGTTTTTTTCCAGCCCAAATGCTTCTGTGATCATCTGTGTGCAGTGGGATCATAGCAGAGCTGCTGTGCACATTTCCTTTCCTTACGCTGAGTAATGTTTAGGAGCCARTCCACTGTTAGCAGTAACTCTGATTTTAGTAATCACTCTGATTTTAATCTGATAACTGATTCCATCTTGCTAATTAGAAGCATTACACTGGAGTCCCAATAAGAGGTGTGTAAGAAAATTCTCTAAAAAACATAAGCATTCCCCTTTGTTCTAAATMACTTGGTTGATGAKGGAGTCAAAACTGACTTCTGCACATTTATTGCAGACAGAAGAACTTTGAGCCTTTAAGGAAGAGGTTGTAAAACAAATRAGATTTGGTTTAGTGGTATAACCTCCAGTGGACCTTTGTATTATTAAAGGTGGGAAAGGGAGGAGTTGCTTGACAAACTGGTGGCAAATCATTCTGTAYATGTGTATAGCAAGGAGGGAGCAATGGATGAAGGGAATAAAGAAAGTCTTGAATGGTGAGCACTTTACYCAAGGTTTGATTGATTTTGCTTTTAGGGGAAAAGCCAGAAGCTGACAGAAATCCTCCAATCCTGTACCACAACAGCCGGGCTCGTTCCACTGGTGCCTGTAACTGTGGAAGGAAACAAGCTCCYCGGGAGGACCCCTTTGATATCAAAGCAGCTAATTATGACTTTTACCAGGTAACTGTTAGGTCTGTTGGYTCTTCAAGCAGTCCTTTTGTTTCATTTGCTGAGTCTGTATTCTAAGTGACCRCAAGATTCTTCTTAACCTTATCAGCCTGTTGTTTGGGRAAGACATTTGTGRGAGCAGAAATGGRCTCAGCAGGGTGGGCAGCTCCAGTCTTCCMACCTGTTTGTGCACCTGTTTGCACTTTGAATGTGTTGGTTCTTGTGAATTTTTAAAAATCAGGTCTGTGGGCCATGTTCCCACCCCTRCTTTGGTTCTCACATGGTGCAAACCTCTTGAATCTTAGTTGTAGCTGAATGTTGTGAATCTCAACTCCCTCATCTCAGGGTGGATACTAAACCAGGATTTCTTTCTCRTAGATGCTGGAAGAGAAGTGCTGTGGAAAACTGGAGCACATCAACTTTCCCATATTTCAGCCRAGCACACCTGACCCAGCGCCTGCTCGGGACGAGTCATCACCCGCCCCTCCTGAAGGGGAAATTGAGAAACTCAAAGAGAAAGAACCTCAGACTCAGGGAGAGAGCACAGGCCTGAGCTTAGCCCTGAGCCTGGGCCAGTCCACGGGCAGCCTGGGCACTTACCCAGCTGATGCTCAGGGTGGAGCGGACAATGCAGAGGGCCACGGGCAGAGCGGGGACTCCAAGAGCGAGAAGAGGCCGAGCCTGGTAGATCGCCAGGCGTCCACTGTCGAGTACCTCCCCGGGATGCTCCATTCCAATTGCCCCAAAGGCCTTCTGCCCAAATTCTCCAGTTGGTCACTGGTTAAGCTGGGACCTGCTAAAGCTTATAATTTCCACACAGGCTTAGATCAACAGGGCTTTATCCCGGGAACGAACTATTTAATGCCTTGGGACATTGTCATCAGGACGAGAACTGAAGATGAAGGAGATTTGGACACCAACTCTTGGCCTGCCCCCAACAAGGCTGTTCCTGGGAAAAGAAGCGCGGTGGTGATGGGGAGAGGCAGGCGKAGGGACGACATCGCTCGAGCTTTTGTGGGGTTTGAATATGAAGACGCACGTGGGAGGAGGTTCATGTGTTCAGGGCCTGACAAGGTGATGAAGGTGATGGGAGGGGGGCCGAAGGAATCTGCCCTCAAAGCTCTCAATTCCGACATGCCCCTGTACATCCTGTCCTCGACGCAGGGACGCGGCCTCAAGCCCCACTACGCCCAGTTCATGAGGCTCTTCGTGGTGGTTCCTGATGCTCCTCTGCAGATCACCTTAACGCCTCAGGTAAGGGGTGCAGGAGGGAATCTGGGAACAGCAGAGGGAGGGGTGGTTGTGGAAACATTAATTGACAGGAGAAAGGTGTCAGGAAACTCACTCCAACTCGAGCAACTTCAGCCAAGGCAGTTGCCAAAAGTATCTGTTACATTAGCAATTGGGATTTCTTAAACTTCAAGATGCCAAATTTATACTTTGTATAAAGCGAGTTTAAAAAGTATTTTATCAAGGATAAGTTATTGGCATTCCCTACTGTAATAATGTCTTAAAAAAAAAAAACTCAAAAGCTAACAATGACTCTGTAAGAATGACTTTGTCATTTTAAATGTCATGAAGAAAAGCAGTGACTCATTGCTCATATTAATTATTATTAGTTACAATATAAATTTAGAAGGTGAAACAGTGTTGGGTGTTTTAACTGGAGAATTCTTCACTGTTTTCTCCATCTTTTTTTAATACACATTTGAAAAAAGCCCAATTTGCATTTTTTTAACTTTTTAAGGTAGCAATGATATTTGATTACCTACTCACATTTTCTTTTGGTTTTAGGTTCAACCAGGCCCACCMCCCTGTCCTATATTTTACCCCGAGAAGCAGGAAATCACCCTTCCCTCTGATGGACTCTGGGTGCTGAGGTTTCCCTAYGCCTACGTGACAGAACGGGGGCCCTGCTTCCCTCCCAAAGAAAGCCAACAGTTAATGAGCTACAAAGTTCTCCGAGGAATACTGAAAGCAATTACACAATAAGAATGGTTTTTTGGTGGATCTKTTCTTGTTTAAGAAAGCCGCCTTCAATCCAGTTCATGGATTTTGGTTCATGTTTGCCAATAGTTGTCACTGCGATCGTGTGAAGCCCCCACTGTATTTCACTGGAACRTGGTCAGATTGAAAATAAAGGTGATATCAAAGCAGGAAAAGGAATCTGAGGCATGTAAATTTTCCCTTTATTAAGTTTTCATATGTAAAAAATAAAAGCTGTTTTTCATAAAGTGGTGATCCCGTATTACTGGATGTTTTGATGGCAGTGCTATTCCCCATRCCTATTTAGGAATATTCAAAAATTAGCATTGCCTGAAATCAAGAGTTTACTTTGTCATATGGAAGCAATGATGAGCAAAATCTTCTGTTTTTCTGAGCAAGCTATTTGTATGTAAATGATGCTTTTAATGTGATGATGGGAGAAATAATTTTGTCTTTAGAAAGAAAAAAGATACTGCAGTTCTGATGTGTATTAACAGCAAAGCCAGAAATTGTGCCCACCTGTATCAAGTGACTCTTGGTGTGAAAAAAATAACCACAGTAAATCATCTTTTAACTGAGCTAAGGTGTATTAGTGACAGTGGCTGTATGCTGAGACCTAATTTAATTTCTAGAATATTTGTTTCTAATTAGCATGCACAAAAGATTTAATTTGCCATTTTGCTGTAGTGCAGTAATTATACTGCATGATGGGAGCTGAGACCTGATTTCTGCTCAGAATATGACATCTTGGGTTGAGGAAAACACATCTCTTCATTTGGAATATGACATTAGAAGATGGACTAAATGGTCTTTTAAAGATCCTTTCCAAGATCTTTTCTGTGATTCTTTAATCTCTCAGGGCCTGGATGTGGGAAATGCGTCCCTCTCATTCAGAATACGACATTTCTGAGGGGCTGGATGAAGAAAAAGCATCCCTACCTTTGGAATATGACATCTCTGAGGGGTCGGGTGTGGAAAATGTATCTCTCCTGTGTGGAATACATTGGGGGCTGGACTAGATGATCTCTRAAGATCCAACCCTAACGCAAAGATTTTATGATATCTGAGGGGCTGGGGGAAAAAACCACATCCCTTCTTTGGGAATACGACATCTCTGAGGAGCTGGGTGGGGGAAACACATCTTTTCACCTGTGAGGAGAGAGCCGGGACAGCCCGGTGGAAAATGAAAGGGTGTCATTGATAATTACCCCACAGCATTTGCCAAGTGCTTTTTTTGACAGCGACATCCCCGCCCGTGAGGCGGGCACTGGGCGGGGCTGTGAAAAACACATCCCTTCACCTGCGAGCGGGGAGCCGAAACAGCGCGGTGGGCAATTAAAGCGTCTAATTAGCAATTACCCCCACAGCCTTCGCGAAGCGTCCGCGGCGGCGGTGGCGGCTCCGGGCAGCCCCTCACGGGCGGGAGGGCGGGAAGGGCGCGGGTTCGCTGCGCCTGCGCGCTGCGCTCCTCCCGGCGCCGGGGCGGCTGCGCGGCCGCAGAGGCTCCGCTCCCTCAGAGCTCCGGCTCCCGCAGCGGCTCCGCCTCGCCGCGAGCCGGCAGCGGGCTGGGACAGCGGCACGGAGCGCCAAGCCACGGCCCGGGGCGGCCGGCGACCGGGCGCAGGATGTCGGCCGCGTTCTACGTGCTCTCCACGCTGGGTGGATACGTCCTCACCTCCGCGCTCCTCCTCAAGTGCCCGGGGCTGCTCCACCGGCCCAAGCGGCAGCGCTTTCGCTGCCGGCACATCTCGCACCGCGGCGGTGAGTGATGAGGGGAGCGGGGATGGAGGGAGGGGATGCGGGAGCCGTCGTGCCCTCCGCCGCTCCTGAGGGCTGTTCTCCGGGCGCTGAGGGCTCCGCGGCCCCCGGCCGATGCTCCCTCTCGGCCCCGGGGCTCTGCTCTGGCCCCCGGGCACGGGAGGGTCGTGAGGGGCTGCGCCGTGTCCGTGGATCGCAGCGGGCTCCCTTTAAACCTTCCTCCCGCAGCCTAATTTTAGGTGCCACCTGCTGACCAGTGCCTCGGTTCAGCGCGGAATTAATCTCCGAAGTCCAACCGCGCCACCCGAAAATCAGCTTTTTTTT